ATTTCGAACTATGAAAAGGTCGAGTTAAGGAAAAATTGGGGAACGGCTAGGAAGGATTGACTGCGTATGATGTTGGAAATCGTTCCCAACGCTGAAAAGAATATTATTGCCAGCATTATGCTCGATATACTCAAAAAAGTGAACAAAACTGTTATTTTTTGTTAACACTTCATCTTTCTTTGGCGATAAGTGGACCTGTGGCTTGATTTTTTGATATCATCACAGATCGCTCATTCGGCGACTAATGCTCTCTTCCAGGCATCTGAGGATGTGCAAAACGCTCAATATGGATTGGATTCAATACGTGTTGAGACACCGATGTGGTATTGCATCTGGTGGTGTAGGAGCAGCTGGGAGCTAGCGCATAGACGTCGTATAGAGGCAGCTGAAAATGTTAGTTGTAAGAATCGGTCTAAACTGAATTAGATTAATTGACTTCCGAGATATCGCACATTTCAGTACTCTGTAGTCAGTTTTCATTACTTGAAGACTAACATGTTAAATTTGTTTCAGACAGAATCGTGTGTGAAATCGTTTTGTTTTTGCCGACAAAATTTCATTTGCATTCCTAATCATTGATGATAAGATTTTTGACGTGCTCCACTTCAACATTTAAAAAACACACAGAAAGTTAACTTTCATGCAGCAGGTGGCATTGAAACTATAGACATATACAACACGAAAGGGCAATAACGTCATTCGAAATAGTATAGGGCTCCTTAATGATAATCATATTTTTGAAGGTGCTAGCAAACGCACAGCAACGTAGGTCAGATGCAATCGAAGCTCTAAATGACGCAAAGCACAGACGTGACAGCATAAGGGATCGGATTACCGAAACTGTGCAAGCATTGACAGAGAACAAGCAGGAATACGAACAACAGAGGGCTACCATCTTGGAGAGGTGAACAAATTTAGCCTTCCAGTTAACAGCTCAATGGATGATGTAAACTCGAGCGATGATCCTCATAAGAGATTCTTTGGAAGTTGAACTCGACATATTGTCTCGTAGCGAAAACTGCTCAGAAATGCAGGCGAGCGAGCAAAATGCATATCACTTTAGCATTATCGGATCAACACTTTTCAACAGGCTCAGCATGGATCATTATGCTTCTGCATTTTTTGAGCTATAAATTCAAAGCTGTAAATGCCAGTTTGCGTTGGCAATATTGTATCCATGTTCCGAATAAATATTACTGATTTTCTCATTACACAAGTTTTTATGCAATGAGTGTAACTGAGTTTAAATTATAATTCAACTTTGGTGATTTTTTAAGCGCGAATTTAACGCAGACAATTCTGGAACTGTTGCAAGATTTGACTATGTTGGAAGAACATGTGGACCATTTAAATGAAGAACTGGAAGAGGTAAATCTCTTCCAACTCTCAAATTATTACTTAGAATAGCGATTTTCTCATAGGATGCTTCGAAAAAGCACTCGATTCCTTTCGTTTCCTTGATGCTCCGAATTCGGACGTTATTCACATTTTTGCGGATGATTGTTTCACTGACATTGGCGAGGATGATTACATTAAGTCTTTATTTTTGAACGGCATCAAATAATTCTTACATAATCAGTACAAACACGCAAATTCTATACATTTGAACGTGCCGATCACAGCAGATTTACGCAGCAGTGGGATAAATTGACTCTTCTGTTTTCAGTTTGAAGATTTGTATGAGGAAGATCTGGGAATTGAGTGGGAATCCATAAATGAATCACTCGACGCCATATCGAAGTATTTGACTGATGGCGGATTTGTGAAGGCTTTAGCCGCCTGGGGCATTGACATCAAAGGTTCGTTTCCAAAATGTCCGACTCCATAAATAAGTTGATCGCAGCATGGACTTTCCGATAGTTCTCAATTGCCAGTAACTGATCGAATCAATCTGCATTTTGCTGTTTTTTTTGTAAAAATGCAAATCAGGAATATATTCAGTAATTCTTATCATTGAATAATGAATTTCAGGCTTTGATGTAGAGTCAATCAGATCTCTGGGTATCGACATTGACGAGAAAATTGCTAAGTTGCTTGGGATAAAATCACAGAAGTTGTTCAAGGTGATTGTCCATTAATCAACATAAAAAACATGTTTTGGTTGTGCAGAAGCTTGCCGTGTGCGTAAATAAAGCTTTTGAAATTATATTGTGCCAGTAAAACTCGGAGCAATCCTCATCAATTGGATCTTGCAATAATCATGATTCTCAGCTGGATAAATGCACCAACTCGATGCAAATACGCTGCGCAATGCAATGCAAGCAGTAATGGATACATTCAGTTAAAATTTTGCATGAATTGGAGATGAGTTCAATTTTGCATGAATTGGTTTCATTCACTACGTGTTCAATATTCTGAAGTTATCATTCAGCAATTAAGAATCAGGCACATCGCTCAGAAAAGATGGTGATATGAGTCGTGATATTTTCAAATGATTTATATTTGTTTCATTTCGAAAGAGCAGCTCGCTGAAGTGCTTTCCAAAGGCACTAGCGATAGTAACCGCTATATAATCCCGGTACACGCCTTAGCGCTACCGCTATTCCGCTAGTAGTAGAATAGCAGAGCAGCGCTATATTGTCCATCTCTGACAGATAGTATTGAAACTTTTGACGCATAAAACACGATAATGTTGTGTACGCCAATAGTATCAATGATTTTGTGCGAATCTCCGAGTAAGGCGACGATAAGACAATCTGACGAAATGCAGTGTTCCACACCGATAGCCGCAAGGATGCTAGCACCTTCAAAAACATGGTTATTAGTAAGGGGCGCTGCTTTTTTGAGATCGCCTCACTGTCGCCTTAATCGAACATGTGATACTATCCTTGCACCAAATCACTGATAATATTGACGAATACATGGTGCGAAATGCCGATGGGCTGATACAAGCTGATGAGCATTCAGTCATGCTCTTCATAAATCGACCATGACGGCCAAGAAACTCTCGGATACTGACGTACTATTTCCTGATTCGTTCAAAAGACGGTTAAGATATCAGAATACGAACGATATAGGAAGGCTCGACGGATTTATTGATGAGGCTCTCGGTTGTGTTGACAGCGATGCAGTGTGTTGATTTGCGAATTTTTTTTTCGAATACGGAATTACATTTGGTACCAACAGTAGCATTTGATGAAGTGTTCCGATGTTTCATTAGAAAGTCACTGTTATTTTTTATAAAATCTGGTGTTGGTTCAAGAACAGAGCAACGATAACGAGTTTATTTATTGCAAATAGATATAGGAACAAAGAAGTCAATCAAAAGTCAGGAATACCAGGAATATCCACATCGTAGCCGTTTTGTTCGATTGCCTTCTTAATGTAAGGATCCTCCTTGAGTACACTCATTAAGCACGAAATCTGATCAACACGTTCCTTTATTCGTTGTTGTTGTTTGAGATAGTCATCCTTCAACTCGTTTCTGAACTCAGACGTTGCCAGTTGAGCGTCAGCCGCTAGTTTTCTGAAGGCGGCATTAATCTCTGCGGGATCTTC